CTTTTGGGATCTTACAAAGCTTCAAACGACGCGTCGACTATTAAATCAGTCGTCGACGATTTTGATAGTCGACGTAATCGTGGCAGCCCTAATCTGCTGTCTGCCTCAGGCTGGACTTGACCCGTGTCCCACTTCAAAAAGCTGCTTCACATGGAGATGCCACAGATGCGAATTTATTTTTGTTTAAGAGATCGCATTTGACTGAGAAAATAAATCAATGTCTGTGATGGTGTTGAAGTATCCAGGATAATACCTGAGAAGCTTATTCAGAGCAGCACAGACTCTCTTATCTCTCACACTGCTTCATCTTCTGTGCTGTGATATATTATTTAAGCAGAGAAGCCTGACCTTAAACAGTCAATGGTCAAAGAAACATGATACACCAGCTGGCCTCGGGATCAAACCTGGAAGATACATACTGGATGTGATTTTCAATTCAATGACATTTTAGAAATATAGTGGTAAATCACAAAAGCAGTCGCCTCAGTGCATGTAGTAAAGACTACAATGATACAGAGAAAGCTCCAACAATCAGACAACTTTCCCCCTTAAATCCAGGCTCAGGGACAGGTGGGTTGATGGGAGAGAGGCAGGACAAACACTTGCTAGTACTCATTGTATTGTAATTCAACTAAGTGCTGGAAATATTCCTTCTAGATTTTGCTCCATATTGATATAAAAACCTCATATATTTGCTACAGATCTGATCTTCATAACACTGAAGATCAACCACAGAAGGTTGGTCCACTGTGGTCACAAAGGGCTGGACAGAAACGGTACTCAGGCTGTGGTTTTTAATGATGCTCAGTTGCTACTATTGATCCCAGAGTGTGCAAATAAATTATCCCCATAATTACAATTGCTTAGCTGACAGGAATGGCACCCAGTGTGGTCTTTTGCTGCTGCCCACCAGCTTCAAGGTTTGATGTGTTGTGCTCTCAGAGATGCTCTTCTGCATACTTTGGCTATATTTAGTTATTTGAGTCTCCATTGGCCTGTTCTCTAACACCATTATGGCACTTTGTCACAGACAACTGCAGCTCACTGCATAGTTTCTCATTTCTGACATTCTCTGTAAACCGTAGAAATGGTCATGATATCCAGACCAGCCCACTGGGTGCTGCAATCCACCAGGGCTGCCCTTTGTAAATAGTTTTGGTCATACATTTACACAGGAACTGAAGACTGGGACATCATTTGTGAGCGTAGCAAAGCTATCCCATGATTCTGTTTTTAATCCCAGACTCAGGAATATCTGAATCCCAGTGTTTTCTCATATTTGCTGCACAGTTTTACAAAGTCTCTGAGAAACTGCTTTATAACACCGTTATTAAAGATGATGGTTTGGAAGAAAGTCTTGAAGCTAATGCTAAGCTGTTTGGACTTTATAATCACAACAGACTCAGTTCGATATTGATTGATTTCTTCTTTCTCGTCTGTGCTTCATCAGTGTCTGCTGGGAATCAGCTAGTCAAATCAACTGATGTGAAAACAGGAATGTGTGAAAATGTCCTGGGCGTGGAGCGACCGGGGCGAGAGAATCAATGAGTAAAATAGGTTTTCTGCAGTCGCTTAGATTCTTGTATATATATATGAACGTATTGTGTACATTTGTAATATTTACACATCACCACATTTAAACTGTATGTTAACAGGAAACAGGATCACCTTCAGCTTTGTTACCTGTTTGTATTCTGGTTCTTTGCGTCCCTTTCTTACCTGTGTGAGCGTCAGCGTCCATGCAGGTGATGCTCACAGCCATAAGTATAGTGGATTGAATGCTTGCCACAGCTTGCTACTAAATGTTTTTGCACCTATTTCTGCCCCGTGACCTACTTTTTCAACATCCCCTTTAAACCTTTCAGGGTCTTGAAAGGATAGAACAATTTCAGGAGAACAAGCCTGTGATTTTGCCCACAGCACAAAGCAGAAAATGATCCAGTTCTAATCAACTGTGGTTAAGGTGAGGGAGCTGCCTGGATGGCGAGTGCAGGAGGCAGCGCTCAGGACTACTGCAGTAGCAGGCTGGCAGCTGAAAAAGCAGCTACTGTACAGTCTCACAGTAGCAGTAAACCCAGCACAGGGCTGCAGTGCATGTGTGAAGAATGCTCTGGGGTGTATTCGATGTGAA